TTAACAAAATTTTAATTCATTAAAATAGTTCAATAAATTATTATGTTTGCTCTTAACGCCACCTGCTAACTTATTAACAAAGCCTACGTTGTTTACTTCTGACAGATCTGTCAAATTTAGACGAAATATTAAATTAATAATAAAATATAAATAAATATCATTTAATAGTATATTAGTTATTAGGTAAACGAAATAGGTTGTTTAAAAAAATTATTTAAAAACGAGAAGTGGCATAAACATTTAACAGATGATTCAATATTGTTACTAATTGAATGACATTTATAACTTTAAATTTTGACAATCGTTAGGAATTGAATTTTTTATTGACAAATATCCTTTTAATTTTTAACTTCTCGTTTAATGTCTGTATAGTTATTTTTTATGAAGCTTTTAGTTTAAACCTGCTGATAATGAATATATGATGACTAGAAATGAATTAATGGAGAGTAATGAATCGATGTGAAGAACCACTATTTCGTGACGCTACCCGTGACGTCTATTCGTATCAGAATTTTACTGTAGAGGAAAGAGTAATACATCGATATATATCGTTGCAAAAATTTAAAAAATATTTTCTAAAATATTTGCTTCTGGTACGATTTGTGTAAATTGGAATTTGCGTTTTAATAAATCATACCGAAAGTTTACTTTTCGTGGCGGCTTCAGAAAAAATCATATACATATTTGGCTAGCCTGGAGCTAAAGTGGTCTATGTCGCATATGTATGAAAATTGATATTTTGTTATATTTGACTTTAAAAGCTAGTAATCTATCAGTACTAAAGTGGTCTATATCTAAATCTCAGTCCGAGTCCGTAAAATAACAATGTACCACTTTTACTTTTGGGGAAATTGAAATTTGTTAAAATTCGAAAGGAGTCTATGTAATACTATGCATTAGAGACCTATTCATTTATACCAAAGTAAAAATTCTAAATTCTAAAGTGGACTATGAAGCACACTAATTAACAATTATTAATAGAGCGGCAACACTGTGTAGCTAATGTCATTTATGCTAACCCCAAACCGGGAGGTTGCAGTTATTTAGTTAATAGATTGGTGTTAATGTGAGAAATGACGAATATTTCAATAAGGTCTCCTACACGCAGACTAGTGGAAGCTGCGACAAATATTCATGACGAAACTGATTCAGAACCTTATCCCGGTTCAAGTGAACATGAGTTATACCTTCAAATAATGATGGCAGCGATTCTGATGCAAGAGATAATAACACAGATACAAATAAGTGCATGTTTAAATAAAATATTATATGAAATCGTAGGCTTCCACGGCCAGAGTCAGAATTACAGTTTATTCGTCTTCCGGGTTTGGACCGTGTCATTTGTGAGTGACCCAAAAGTGGGTTCATCTCGACGTTTCGCTACAATTATATGTAGCTTCTTCAGGAGAACAAAGAAAAGGAAAAAAGAAAACAAAAGAACAGGAAGATGGTTAGTTAGCAACGGTAACTCAGTTACTCAACGCAACCAGAGGCGAATACTAACTACCAAGATGGGCATTTGGTCACAGTAACTCAACTACTCAACGCAGCCAGAGGTGAAAACCAAATGCCAGGACAGGGATTCACGTCCAACAGCTCAGAACACTAACGCGTCGAGAGGCGGGGAGGATTCACTCCCCGCCTCTCGACGCGTTAGTGTTCTGAGCTGTTGGACGTGAATCCCTGTCCTGGCATTTGGTTTTCACCTCTGGCTGCGTTGAGTAGTTGAGTTACTGTGACCAAATGCCCATCTTGGTAGTTAGTATTCGCCTCTGGTTGCGTTGAGTAACTGAGTTACCGTTGCTAACTACCCATCTTCCTGTTCTTTTGTTTTCTTTTTTCTTTTCTTTGTTCTCCTGAAGAAGCTACATATAATTGTAGCGAAACGTCGAGATGAACCCACTTTTGGGTCACTCACAAATGACACGGTCCAAACCCGGAAGACGAATAAACTGTAATTAAAATATTATAGTTTGGTAACCAATAAGGGAAGCAATTGATTTTAAAAAGAAAGTGTTGTCACATTAATGTGTTGATGCGCACTGTTGCCATATTTTTTATTTTTCAAAGAAATTAATATAATAAAATAAAATAAGCTACATTTTTTTTTAATTTGTCTGCCCCTAATGCGTATTTTAAAAGTTATTTTAAAACTATTATAACAGTTTAATTAAAAGAAAGCTTTAACGCATCGCATCGTTACATAATTGTTTTAAGTAAACATTTTCAACTACCTCCTATTGTTGCAGATTCCGATGTTAAACATGAACCTGTGTTGTTGAATCAAATCATGGAAAATCTTGGGGAAATTCAAGAACCGGACGAAACTGAAGTAAGAAAGGAAAGAAAGAAGGTGAAACAAGAGAGTTTATGGGGGAAATACGTCAGAAATAGATGTAGAGCTTCAGGAGAGAAATACACTAGTATAAAATGGAAAGTTGTGGCCGCTAAAACGTTTTTTACATTGAATGTAATTGTCGTCTAAAATGCAGTAATAGAGTGCCAAAGAATGTCCAGAGAGAAGTACATGACAGATTTTACAAACTACAGGATTGGAACGCTCAAACTAGCTGGTTGTGTGGTACAGTTAGAACTAAAGCACCTAAACGTCCCCGAAAAATAATGATATCCCTTCTCCCGATCGAAGAGGAAGAAAAGTTCTTGAAAATAAAATAAACGAGGAAAAATTGAAGTGGATTTGTGATCACATTAATAGTTTTCCTAAATTTAAGAGCCACTATGGAGAAAGAACCTCAATGCGTTAATATTTAGCACCCTCTTTAAATGGTTCCAAAATGTACGAACTGTTTAAATGTAAATTAATTATTGAAGGAAAACCAGTTGTTAAAAAAAGTATCTATGAAAAAATCTTTGGAACCGAATAAAATATTCATTTCTATATACCTAAAGAATAAACTTGCAAATTGTGCGATGCATTTCAAATAAGCTTAAATGCCGAAAGTAATAAAGAAAAATCAGAAGAAGTAAAAATAGAAAGGGACCAGCATATTGATCTGGCTCAAAAAGGTAGGAAACTTCTGAAAGATTATAAAAACGAGTGTGTGAAGCCGGACAGTACAGGTGTATCAATTACATTTGATTTGGAAAGAACACTTCCCTTACCTCATATAAATATCGGAATTCTTAGGAATTCATACTTATGAAAGTGGTGGAGAAAACGTTTTTATGAACATGTGGTATGCGACCAAAGGGACTAGAGGTTCTCAAGAAGTGATACGTTGTTTATATCACTATTTTAAAAATGACATTCCTCATGCTACAAAACTTGTTCTATTTAGTGACTGTTGTGTAGGACAAAATCGGAACTGGAATTTGTTACATTTTCTTATCTACATGGTTAACGTGTTACCGAACATTCAAGATATTTATGTAAATTATCTGGTTACCGGTTACACATATTTAACAAACGATGGCGATTTTTTCACCAATTTCCCCATTTCGTGTAAAAAACATGGTGGATACGTTTGTGTCATTTGACAAGTTAAAGATTTTTAAGTCACCTCATGCCCTGCGGAGTTCTGGCGTCATGATTTCTCAAATACACAGAATTAAGTTCTCCAAAGATACATCGGTAATGTTTTTCAATAATGTTTACTCAAATAATTATAATGTTATAGATCTAAATAAAATGAATTATTTTCAAGAATTTGCACAGGTATTAAAACCTTTTCCCCAGAGATATTAGACCCTTATCTTTTAATAAAGTGAAAGATATAAAAAAATGCTACAATTTGTACCTCCTGTGCATCATCCATTTTATCTTTCTTCACCCAATTACAACCGCAGGGGTGATAGGGAGGATAATGAAGACATACTACCACCATTTCGAGGTGAAGATTTGGATGAATAAGTTGTTTACTTAACTATTTTTTAATAATTCTAAAATGGTCTTTGTTACATTTTTAAATAAAAAAAATTAACAAAATGAACTTCAGTTATCAGTAAGGATTTTTTTATGTTTGTAAGATTTTTGGTAACCGTAATTAAACTTTTCTACAAAAATTTTGGTTTTATTTTCTGTACCAACCGCTTTAAACAGTAAAATGAATTTTTTTAAGTTTTCTCGAACAAGTGGTTTGATTACTTAGACCACTTTAGTTCCAGGCTAGCCAATTGCTCTCATTAAGACACTGTACGTTGCTAGGCTACCATCCAACATTGTTTATTTAGTTACTTGATACCCCGAATACTAACTTTGTCTACAAAGGCCAAATATAAAACATGATTTATTTTTTTATTAATTTTTTAAAAAGTTTAAACTAAAATGAAGGCTGATTGTTTTGAAATTGACAAACTTCACCAGAACTGTGAGAATAGGACAATTTGTTACTATTAAACTTATAACCTTCAAAATTAAGAAAAAAATATGAAGTTAGTACTATAAAAAATGGGTACCTTTTTGAAATCGTTGCAAAATATACTACACTACGTTAATATGACCATAGTGTCATGAAACATCATTTTGTATTAGAGAAATTATTTTTAAAAAACAAATCTAATTGTTAAAAAAACTTGATGAAAATAAATCTATAAATTATACATTTTTTCTTATTTCCACAATCAATTGAAACAAGGGTTTTATCCACTAAGTTACAGAGAATCAAGAAATATCAAAGAGTGTTAAATGACAAATAATGGGCATTACATTGCAAGACAGAAAAAAAACATAAATATTGAGCAAAATTAAAACAGCAAAATCATTGAATAATCTTTAAAACTAAAACGAGGACATTTTTGTATACCACGAGAGTTATAATGGTTAAAGGTATGATGTAAAACGATGAAGTTAGATATTAATTGAAGACTATATACCATATTGAAAAATCAATAAATCGACAATCAAGAAATTCATCCGGTTATCAATTTGTAAAAATGCATAAAAATAGAAAAATACACTACAAATAAATTTACTTTAGATTTTAAAACATATCTGCCAAACCTATGAATAAGATACCAAAATTCATCAATCATTAACTTACCAACTGTGGTCCTCCGTAAAAAGATGGTCCATAAAGCAAATAGTTTCCATCATAATCTGGTACAACATAGGCATTGCTGGAAGCAATGATGAATGCTAGGACAATGAGAGTGTACCGGAACATGTTGAAGGCTCACAAATAATAGTATGCGAATGATTAATTACCAAAAAGGACTCGTTTTTATACATAAGTTGATGTGCAAGTAGGTAGTAAATGAATCGAAGTGTAGGTATATTTTATACATTTTAATTAAAATAAAAAATAATGATCAAATTAAATTATGCTAAATTACTTATTTAGCATAATTAAGAGACGAGATATACTTTTATGTAATTTGTATAACATTTTTAGAATAATTTCTATATGAATATAAAAAAATTCAAAAGTTAACCGTAGTTTAGGAATCAAAAACCAATCTTCAACTTTACCATAAAAAACAGCCTTGTGTCAGAGTTTTTTTCTCAAAGTCTTCCTATTGATAGAAGTGATAAAAAAATTATTAAAAGAAATAAACAAATATATGACGTAAACACTTTATTTTATTTTTACGCACAACAGGCCGTTAAAGCCTAGTGCATTTTTTTACAACATAATCCTAATACTAACTAATTACAATTATTTTAAATAAAACTTTAACTTAAATATGTATATACCACATTCTTAACTACTTTGAAGGACCTGGTGTACAATATTTCTCCATTCGCTTCTATTTTGTGCTTTTCTTTTCCAGACCCTTACCTTCACGTGGTTAAGGTCTTCCTCCACTTTACTAATCCACCTCGTTCTGTGTCTACCTCTTCTTTTGGTGCCGATTAATTTTCTGATTATTACTAGTTGAGGCATTCTGTTTGCTGCCATTCTTTCCACATGTCCCAACCATCTGATTCTTTGTGCCTTGACGAACTTTGTAATGGTAGATTCTTTGTATAAAGCCATTAATTCATTGTTGGTTCTTCTCTCCTAACCATCTTCTGTCTTCCGTCCTCCTAATATGCGTCTCACTATTTTTCTTTCCCATCTTTCCAGAGTATGCTTTTACTTCTTATTTAATGTCCATGTCTCACCGGCATATGTTACTATGGGTCGAATTACTGTTTTATATATTCTGAGTTTATCTTGTCTAGAAACGTATTTTGAGTTCAGTATAGCTCTTAAACTACCTAATTTTTTATTCCCTTTTTTTATTCTGCCTTCGAGCTCCTATTTCTCTTTTCCATTTTCATCAAAAACCACACGCAGGTATTCAAATTTGTCCACCCTTTTAAAACTATAGCATTTACCACTTACAGACTTGTTAGAATCGTTAGATCGTCAGCAAATGCCAAGCACTGATGGTTATTTTTCATGATCTTTCTTCGACCTTCATGCTACATTTTTTGATTACAGTTTCTAACACTAAGTTAAATAATGTAGTGGATAAAGGATCTCCCTGTCTCAAGCCTTTTGCAACCGTAAATTGATTTGATAGGTGACCCTGCCAGGCAATTTCACACGTAGAGTTATTTAGTGTCATTTTAACTAGCCGGATCAGTTCCTTTGGTATACCCAAATCTTCCATTGCTCGATACATTTTGACTCTGTCGACTCTATCATGTGCTTGTCTAAAATCCACAAACAAAACATGCAGGGGAACTTTACTTTCATAACAAGTCGTTTGTATCTCCTTTAATGAGAAGATTTGGTCTACAGTAGATCTGTCCTTTCTAAAGATGGCCTGATATTCATGAAGGATTCTTTCCGTGTAGCAATTTATTTTATTTCTCAATATTCTTGCCAAAATTTTGTATACCGTGTCTAGTAAGGCTATACCTCTATAGTTGTCACACTTTAGTTTGTCTCCTTTTTTATTCAGAGGGCATATGCGGACCTCATACCACTCTAATGGCATTATTACTTTTTCCCATACTTGCACTAGTAGCTTATGTATTTTTCTTTGTAGTTGTTCTCCACCAAACTTGATCATTTCTATGCATATGTCATTTTTACCAGGACTTCTGTTATTTTTCATTTCTTGTATTGCTGTCACCACCTCCTCTTCTGTAGGCTGTCTTTCAACAATCGCATCTTCTCCAACCGTCCAGTTGTCCACTGCTTCGTGGTCCACCTCACTATTTAATAATTCTTCAAAATGTGTTTTCCATTCCGTCATTATTTCTGCCGGATCGCTAATTAAATTTCCGTCTTTATCTTTTATATAACTACAGTAGCTTTGGTAACCTTTTCCCATCTTTTTAACTTCTTGACAGAACGACCTCACCTCTTTGTTTTTAAACTTCTCTTTTAACTCTTTTAATTTATGCGTAAATACTTTAGAAAAGTATTAACTAGGAAAACCCACAAATAGAGGAGATAATTAAATAAAAAATAGTATATAAGTTAAAGCCTTAATAAAATATAACACATCAAATGGTGTAAATTCGACAATTAATTCACAATTTTCAAGTAGAGAATGGGCTAAATGTAGATATAAGACTTGCAAATATCAGCTAAGAAGAGAGATAACAACTGGGTATATATTTTGTATGAGCACTTACTACTTCGCAATTAGCCCAGTCGGGATCTAAACCTTGCCTTACCTAATTTTTTATTTAAGGAAATATGAAGAAAAGTAAAAATGTTTACTTATAGCGTCCATATTTTCACCTATAAATCAAAAGATATTGTGCTCTTACAAAAAAAAATTACATGGTAAAAGTTTCGTTTTAAATCACGAATATGTTGCCTGTGTGAGTCTGTTTCAAATAGGTAAAAAGAAATAAAATAAGATGGTTTCTACAATTTGCAAAGCATTTTTGGGTCAAACGGTAGATATAAAGTAAATTAAAAGCTGAAATTATAAAAAGCCCATATTAGGGTGCTGTCTTACAAAGATAGAGATAAAATTACAGTAATTATGCCAATATTACATGTCTGTGTTTTAATGTGAATAAAATTGATTAAGCAGACAAAGTAAAACCCACAAATGGGTATAAGATAATCTATTGAATTGTAAAACATTAGTAAATAAACAAAATATTACTCACATGCCGGTGCACGATTTATTAGTTACTGATTTGAAAAACATAGTTCAAACTATCATGTACTGCTGATGATGGGTGATCTTCGGTTTTTTCTATTACAACTGTTCGATAATTAATGGGGAAATTTCTTGAGGGGAGAGCTGTTAACAAATGAAATAGGAATAAGTTCATTGAGCAAAAAGACAAAAAAAGGAAACTAATCGTTATGAAAAGGAGACCAAATGGTGGATATATCCGGAAATGCGAATGCGCCAAATTTAAATTTTCTGACCCTTATTAACAACAGCTATAAAATAGTTTTCTGTGTCTTAGACGAAAAAGTTTTAATTAAATATTAACGATAACAGTCTAAAATGTAAAACGATTGTTAAAAAACTTCAATATAAATAAGATTTCATGTGACAGTTGGGACAAATAACATAACCGAACTAAATTTGATTTCTTAAACAAAGAAAGACTCTGTTTCCTTGTTTAATTAGGACTCTCAAGATGGCACTGCACTTCCCGTCTAACAATATTTTTGCCCCACTATCGTTACATTCCCTCTTTTGTCTTTTTGCTCGATGAATGAAGTTATAATGTGATTGTTTGTTAAATGAAAGTGATTGGCAGTTTGGTATCTCAGATATATATATATATATATATATATATATATATATATATATATATATATATTGTAATGAGAACAGAAATACAATAAATTAGCATAAGAAATAAGTTAAAGAAGTTTTTTTTTTATTTTATTTAATATTAGATATATTTAAGTCAGCCTTGTGTATATACAACCAGATATACACTGTTAATTAATAAATTTATTTAAAAAGTAATTAAAGACATAATTTATAAGTTATATACTAGATAATATTATTAAAAAGTAATTATATGAGGGTATTTTTAAGAATCTAGCATATAATAAATGTTAAAATTTTTTTTTAATAATTATAAGTCAGCCATATGTATATGCAACCAGATATACACTGTAGTGTCAAAGTCAAAAAGGAGTTTATTTAAATGGGAATGTTAATTTAAAATATAATTACATATGTAAAATAGTAATAATATATTTCATATAAATGTTTAAGTTACATATAATAGTGTAATTCTGATCTGGAGAGCCTAAAGTCAAGTAAATTGTTTATGTAGATCAGAGAAAATTCTAGAAATGTCAATAGAACTATTTGCATAATACATCATAGACAAAAACCATTCCATTTATTCCAGAATGTTCAGATAGAAAAAATAGAACGATTCGAACCTTATTTATTGCTAGCTTATTCTGGAACGATGAAAAAGATATATAAACCATGTAATTTGGAGCAGGAAATCAGTTAGTCAGTTAGTACAAGTTAGTTCAGTTATCAGTTAGAAGTTAGTCAGTTAGTAGCAGTTAGTTCAGTTAGATCAGTCAGTAAAGTTAGACTTCAAGAATTTAGTTACAAGAAGATTAATAATTGAGTTAAAGTGAGTTAGTTAGAAGAAATTAAATCAGTTAGTTACAGATTATGATTAGTTACAGTTGATTAATCAGTTAGTAAAGTGAGTTAGTAAAGTTATAATTCAAGAATTCAGTTACAAGAAGATTATTAATTGAGTTAAAGTGAGTTAAGTTACAAGAACTTACAGTCAATTATTAAGGGAATTAGTTTGAAGCTAGAAGAAGGCATTGATTAAGTTAAATGAATTAATTAAGTCAAATATGGTTGGAGATTAATTATTACTACAGTAATATAGTGACAGTATAAAGTTAATTCATTGAAGTATGCATTCAATAGTACAACCACAACATCCAGTATATTTGAAAGTACATTATATGGAAATTACAAGGATTTAAATTTATATATTTATATGGTAAGTGGAGATAAGTAAGAAGAAACATATTAAGATTTTTGGATAACCAAGTCTGAGTAAGAAGATATCGAGTGGTGATAATAACTTTAATTTTGGAAAAACTTTAGGCGTTCAGTGATAGAAAGGTACCAAATTTTGTTAATAATTTAATAATTGTAAGAATTTCAAATTTTAGATAGATTGTTTTAAATAATTGATATTGCTTATATTAGATAGATATGTTTGTTTCATAATAGTTATAATAAAGATAATTTAAAAAAGTACTTACAAAC